GATTTTCCTTAGGTCGCTCTGAAAATAATCTCATTTACTTATTAATCTTATTTACCTATTATCACTTCATAATAATTTAAAAGATGATTTGTCAATTATGTTAAGATATTAAATTTCTAACATATTGTAATATAAAATACAATTAATTTAAGAAAATTGTCGAAAGCTGTTCGAACTCTTTCACCACAGGCACTCTCTTACACGCATTGAAATCGTTTCGTCCGAAAAGGAAAGGTCTTTTTTCACTATCACGAATTTCGTAAAATATCTGCGATTATATTCCAATAATATTATCGCAATTAATTGTAATTAATACCCGTATTTTTTATAAACGTACCTTGTTATATTTAAAACCAACATTGTTCAAATCTGTACTTTACAGAACTCTAAAATTTTCGGTGACCGACTCATACACACGCGTACAATATCGTAACGAAGACAAAGAATGGAAAACTTGGTAACGTTATATCTTACAGATGCACCGTTAGTCAAAACGATGAGCACTGTGAGCGAAGAAGGTTGCAGAAAGCAATCTGTGAATGGCCCCCACTAAAGAATTCTCCCCCTCTAGAGGAGAGAGTATAATGACCCGAATTTTGTGCGAATTTAAGCTAACTCACAATTTACTCAATGGAGTCTTACTGGATTGTCATACTAATTTTCTTTCAACATTCCTTTTTAAATCAAAAAGAAAATATTGTATTAATTGTTGGTATTAATAGAAAAAAATCATTTATATCTTATTATTTGAAACATATTATCTTTGTCAAGTAATTAATGCATGTGATATTATGCATACAATATTATATCTTAATTAATTTTTAAAAAAAGTTGCAATAAAAAATATGTAATTTATAAAATTAATATAATAAAAATAGAGTTACGAGCCAAGCAAGATCTTCATGCTAAGTTATTGCAAAAACAAATACAATTATTGTAACATACGTTTCGATCCCAATTGGATCATTATCAATGTTAATCTTAATAACAATATAAAAATTACATACTTATTTGAAAAACAATCTTGAACAAGATATTCAACACAACTTAAAAAGAATATAAAAAGTTTTATGGATTGTGTAAGTATCTCTATTGTTTTAGATGGTTGTGAGACCGTTGTGGTGGTTTGTGCTCAAAATGTAAAAATGCAGAAATAGTCTTACTCGGTGTATGAACATGACAATGTAGAGGAATAACAAACTTGATGGTCGTCAACGGTTCTTGTAAAATGACCATTAAAAAGCGCAGTCTCAAAAGCTTCGAATTAATGATAAACTACTGCAATAAATCAGTGTTAAGTCTAAAATCATAATTACAAACGATTTTATGAATAATAATTTAACAAACATAAAAATATATATCGTGAAATACAATAATTTATAAAATTATAAAACACATATCTTCGAAATTATGAAGAACTAGTATTATAGAAATAACGTTTAAATTTTGTGTGAGCCTAATAATATAATGATTATAAAATTACAAGTAAAATAACAAATTGTATGTATAAAAATGTATATCGCAAAGTAAAAAGTTGTTATAAAGTTTAAAATTAGGCGTGCCTTCCAACAAGCGACACGGTGCAACACATGTCATCTTTGTTTAACATTAGCAAACAACAACGACGTAATGATCCATTGTGTTACACCGTGTCACTTGTGAATATTAGAAAAACGGTTAAAATTACACATCAAACAGTCAAAATATAAAATAAAAAGTACCTGATAATTAGTAGTGACCTATTTGAGAGCATTTGATAAACAGAAAATTGAGATGTCCTGATAATTAGAACTCAGCTCTCTTTCAAAGACAATTCAAATCTGATACAATATGACAGTTAAGACAAGTGAGTGGAAAGAATAAAAGTGTGTATAAAAAAACAAATTAGCACAAGGTTTGAATAAGCAAACATATATAGAATCCGTTATCTAACTATACTCCAGTTACTTTCCCTTTCCTAATACCTCCTTAGATCCCCATTGAAAAAAATCACGTCACTCAGTTGCATGGTGAAATTATGTAATTAAGGGTGTGGTCGAATTTCCACTACGAATTCTTCGAAGCATTCATAGCGGCAACTCGACTGCACCCTAAAACATGCAAATCACATAACGGATTGTTCCAAATGAGTACGTGATTTTTTAAAAGTACGTAATTTAAAAAGTCACATGACATATTCTTTTTTCTTCCATTTCTATCATTCTATTCTTTAAAATTCGATAACTATAAAATCACATAATGGGCGAAATTGTTTCTAATATCATGTGATTTTTCAAATTAAGTAATTTTTAAAAATCACATTCTTGAATCAACAATCCTTTACGTAATGTATATGTTTTATTTATATGTTAATAACATGATTTCATATATAACCTTGTCATTTTTTTCAATAGGGATATCTCCTCCTTTCATTTTTTCCCTACTACAGTTCCACTCACTTGTCTTAACTATCATACGGTATCAGAATTGAGTTGTCTTTCAAAGAAATCTGAGTTCAGGACATCTCAATTTTCCGTTTATCAAATGTTGCTCTCAAATAGGTTACTACTAATTATTGTATACTTTTTATTTTATATTTTGTTCGATGTGTAATTTTAACCGTTTTTCTAATATTCTAATTTTAAACTTTATAACAACTTTTTACTTTGCGATTACATTTTTATATACAATTTGTTATTTTATAATCATTATATTATTAGACTCACAAAATTTAAACGTCATTTCTATAACTGGTTCTTCATAATTTCGAAGATATGTGTTTTATAAATTTTATAAATTATTGTATTTCACGATATACATTTATTTTTATGTTTGTTAAATTATTATTCATAATATCGTTTGTAATTATGATTTTAGACTTAACACTGATTTATTGCACTAGTTTATTATTTATTGTAATTCGAAGCTTTTGAGACTGCGCTTTTTAATGGTCATTTTACAAGAACCGTTGACGACCATTAAGTTTGTTATTCCTCTACATTGTCATGTTCATACACCGAGTAAGGCTATTTTCTGCATTTTCACGTTTTGATATTGAAATAATTTTAACAACCATCTAAAACGATAGAGATACTTACACAATCAATGAAACTTTTATATTCTTTTTAAGGTGTGTCTTGTTCAAGATTGTTTTTCAAATGAGTATGTAATTTTTATATTGTTATTAAGATTAACATTGATAATGATTCAATTGGGGTGAAACATATGTTATAATAAACTATTTGTTTTTGCAATATCTTATGAAGACCTTGCTTGGCTCGTAGCTCTATTTTTATTATATTAATTTTATAAATTATTTGAGCCTTAGTGTTCCTATATTATTTTTAAATACATAATTAATATAAAATGTGTACATATTTAATGTGTAAATATTTGAGATAATTAAAATATCTTTTAACTACAATGTAGTCATAAATAAAGTGCAATATAAAACTGAAAAGAAAGGTAAAATATGACTATAATAAAATATGTGCTTGTAATTAATGCTTGTAATATAAAAATAATCGAAGTAAAACTCAGACAACAAAAAGTGTTTAAAATCAGATCATAAGACGTTTCTAAAAGATGACTTAAAGACGTTTTACCCAATGAAAAATAACAGTGAAATCGATGTTGAATCGATGTCGATTTGATAATTTCGACGTCGAATCGACATCGAATCGATGCCGATTACATTATCATTTTTTACTGAGTATGTCATAATTTTAGACTTGTGTTGTTTGGAAAAAAAATCTTAAAAAATTGAAATTTGTAGCTTATTTCATGTACTATCAATTTAAATTATAATAATTCAAAATCATTTTTAAAAAATCCTGAAGTCTTTTATATAGCAATGATAAATTTTATAATAAAATTCAACTTACTCTTATTTGAACAGTAAGTCGTTTGTATGTTGGAAATTTTTAATTTGTAAATTTTTTTAAGTAATAAAACAAAAAGTACTATCAAGCGATGCGATAGCGTCGCGACGCCAAAAATATAAAACGGATCACTTGACCGCTTGATGTGTAAACGTCAAACTTTTGACAAGGAATTGACAAAATGTAGATAAATATTGTTTATCTAGTAGAAATTCGATTAAAATAAATACATATAAAAAATTTTTGGAAAAAACAAAATACATATTGGACATCAATTAAAGATGTATCGAAGATATTAAAATTATAAAAAATTATGAAAAAATAACGGATTATTCTAAATCGCATTGAAAGTAAAAGTTTACTATCTAAATAATAAGTTATTTTAATAAGTAGTATATTTTAAATCTAATACTTTAATAAAAATATATGGAATTGTATTATAAATAAATGATAAAAATCTCAATTTTTTAATTATAAGTATACTTTATATACTTTATGGGAGCCAGTATACTTTAGCCTTCATATACTTTATAGCCAGTCAAACAACTTGATAATAAGAAAATAACAATTTAATTATATAAGAAAATTACAAATATAAGAAAATTCATGCGTTTTTAATTAATTAGAGCAGAGTATATGATTTTGAATCATAAATTATTTTTTGTTATAATATAAATTTTTTACTTATTTATGTGTTTTTAATACTATATGTATTTATGATAATATAATAAATTAAGATTAATTAATAATTAACATTAAATTAATAATTTATTTATGCATTATATATTTCGTACATACCATTTTTTATTTTATTTTGATATTTTTTGTAAAAATTTTTTTTTTGTTAAAATGTAAATTTCTTCATTCTTTTTTTCGGAAATTATTTTGACACCCCAAGAAAAAATACTTTATATATACTTGATTATATAAAATTATATAAAATTATATATTTGTATATAAATGGACACATTTTATATATAATTATATATAAAATATTTTTTCCCAGGACATTTTAATTTGACACGTACTTACTTATTTGCGCGATGTCACTTATTCATTCAAAATTACCGCAATGCAAATGTTTAAAATGCTTTATCTAGCTATATGCGCAGAACGGTATGAAATTCGTTTCGAAAACGAGCATATATGTTATATGTGAACTGTAGCGACGCATGAAAAGGTACCTTAAACCTCATATCTATAATCTATGAATAACATGCTCCGGTACGTATTGACCTCCGATCCACTTCGATCACCTCCGATCAATTGATCAGTATAAAGGGAGCAAAAGGAAATTAAAATAAAAAAAAAGAGACCTTCAGAGTCAGAGGCCCTGGATCGGAGCAGAGCTCGGAGGAAAAAGATGCTGGACGATGTATCCCATTGCTCCGGATGTTTCTTACGTCTTATCGGAACGTGAGGATATCAACTCGATCCTGTACAAACCGATTAATTCGACGCAGCGAATAAAGGTACAGTATGATAGATCGCATGAAAAGATGTTGGCATTTTTCCACATGTAATGTACTAAAACGTGAGGTTAACCCAAACGATACAGTAGCGTACAATGCATCTGTCATTCTTGTCATATTATATCACATAAGATGTTCATTAGAAGTCGTTCATTAGACAGATGTTATCAAAATCATCTTCATTATTTTAAGAGTTAATTAACTTGCCTCTTTCTAATGAACGACTTCTAATGAACATCTTTCTAATAAAAGACAGAATGATGTGAAATAAGTGCTTTAAACACTTGAGTGTTCAAATCGAATGCAGCTTTGGTCATATACATGATTGGTACTTAAATTTGCAGCAAGAGACAATATAACAGTGATCATTTCATTTTTATTTAACATTGGCAAATAACAAGGATGTAATGATTCATTATGTTATACTACTAGGTCTGTTTTTTCTGTATCTGAACTAGTATATACTTTTGGAATTAAAAATGTGATAAATATATTTAATATTTGAAAACGAGAGAGAAAATTCTAATGCAATCTAGTAGGAATAAAAAAACAGACCTACTGTGAGTACAATCTACTTAACGCTACAAATGCTTCGTTGATTAATTAGAAAAAAAAAAATTTTGCGAAATTGACCAATTAAAAACGTTCTCTAGAAACATTGTAACAAAATGAATCATTTCATTCTTGTTTAGCAAATAATAAGAATGTAACGATTCATTGTGTTATACTGTACTCTTGGAAAACACACATAAGTTATTGTTATTATTCATAAAACTGTTGTGTAACTTTTTACTTTCAATAGTAGCAACAAATGTTCTCTCTGTCAATAAAATAGATGAAATGCCAAAATCTGTTTTATCTTTTCAAGTTTTTGATTTTATAATGTTAGTTTAAATATATGTAATAATATCTTAAATTGTATAAAATTGCAGTACACATGTTTCAACGCTTCACCAAGTTACATTATACTAGGCTCAAGCAGTGGCAGCGTTTACTTGTTTTCAAGAGAGCCATGTTTATTTCTTCAAATAATACCTCTCTCGGTAAATGACGTTTTAGTATAATAAGTTTAAGTCAATGATGATTACTAAATATATAAATGATATATTGTGATTATTGAATATACATATAATTGATTTATTAATGTTCTTTTTATCTTGCATTAGGAAGGTGTGGTTTCGCGTGTAGCGATATCACCTGACGAAAAAACTGTAGCCTTAGCAACAACTCGTGGTACTGTCTGTCTAGTATCTCTGAAATCCACTCCGCAATTGATATCAGTATCAACGGAGTATATATATAAACAAATTACTTGTATCTGTTGGAATAATAATAGTACCGAGTTGTATGTAGGAGATGCAATTGGCAGGATTTCTGTCATAGTGTTATCCATATTTACGGTAAGTTTGTAACACAATAAATTAAATATTAATAAAATTAATATTTATTTCAATTAAACAGTTAAATATAATAAACTAAAATTAAATAAAATTATATTAGGTGTAGTAAAAAAAAATCCATTATTTTTCCAATAGATAGCTTTAGTAATCTGTATCTCGTCTACGTGTGATACAGATTACTAAAGCCATCTATTGGAAAAATAATAGATTTCTTTTTACTATACCTAATATATAATATAATAATGCATATTCTTTCAATAAAAAGAGTTGTTCTGTAACTTGGTTCAACTGGATGATTCTGACATGAAAAAATAAGTTGAAAACGTAAAATAAAATTTTTTTCATTCTTATGAAAATACTTGTGAAAGCTTCAATGAATTTTTATCATCATAGAAGTCGGATTTTATTTATTGTTTACAGTTTTAAGATTGTCTACTTGAAATTAATATAATTAAAAAATTTGATGTGTTTCCGAAGTTAAACATTACTGGTGAAGGAAAATGATTTAATTTATACGTTTATATAATATTATATTTATATATCAATTAATATATTATTTATTGATCTATCTTCTTTTTCACAATCAGGTCAATGGAATGTTTCAAACTCCAGTATGTACACTGATGAGTCTGGATTCTAGTATCGTACAATTAAATTTCCATTCGCCTCTATTATTGGTTTCCACGTTAGCACGTAGTTATATATGCGACACAGTGCAAGAGCAATACAAACAGATTGGCAATAAATCGCGGAACGGCGAATTCGGCGCATGTTTTTACACGCACGAGAATAACACTTTAAAAGCACAGAGAGAAGAAAGGAACACCAACAATATACGGGGCGCGTTCAATTTGATCTCCGATAATGATATCAATATTCTGGACGAGAATCAGTCAAAGATATTTTGCGCTCGACCTGGTTCGAGATTATGGGAGGCCTCGGCTGATGGAATCGTCGTGAAGACGCATCAGTTCAAAGAGGCTTTGGCAATTCCTCCGACAGCAATATTTCGATCAAATAGTACCTTAGAATCTAGTCAGAGGAAAGAGACGGAATGCGAATGGCCGCCGCAGTCTGTCAACTTCTCGCACTTGTTCGTACTCGCGCGCAAGTATTTATTTTCTTATACGACTAGCGGCCTATATATTATTGATCCGACGAATGCAAGCATGCTGTTGTGGAACAACGAGTACACGAACATCAGCATGACGGCGATCGTGGACAATCAGATCTACTTGATGACCTGTGATAGCAAATTTCATTGTATAACGTTATCTTCACTCGACAGTCTAATACTATGGCTGTATTGCCGCGAGCGATACAGCGAGTGTTTAAACGCATGTTTTATATATAAGTCGCAATTATTAAAAACAATCGGCACTAAGGAAATTGTTGAGTTGTTCAAAGTAGAAAATCTGCCGCAAGATGAGAAAGAGCAGCTGCGACCATTAATAACGCTTCTGCAAGCTAGTGATAATAATAGACCAGCTAAATTAAACTCCGGCATCGTAGTCGTGCATTCTGAAAACAATAGATTCATTAATAAAAAAACTTACGGCTGTGAAATGACGCCTTCGTCGCAGTCTCCTGAAATCTCCAGCGATGATTCATTTGAAATGCAAATAGAATCTGGAAAAGATCGGAAAGAAAATCTTGTTCAAGAAAATATCCTCGGAATTGTTTCAGGGAACATATTTGATTCGGATTACAATAGAGAAATGTTAAATATTAAAGAGGATGGTCATCAGAAGCTGGATTTTCAAGAAAACGTTACGCATAGGATTCAATCTGATTTGCATTCGATTTACGAACTAGCGAATAGTTTCAGATCTAATATGTTAGAAGAAGAAATCGAGGAAATTATTTTGGAGACAGATAAAAAGATGAGAACTATCAAAGATTCCTATCGAGACTCGCCTGGGCTTCAGAGTTTTATCTACGAAGTTACTCGCGCCGCGGAATTGCATTATTATAATATGTTTCTGGAAAACACCTCCATGCAGTTGATTGACTCTAGTAACAACAATTACATCGTGCGGCATTTCGTAAGAGCCTTCATCGAAATCAACGCGCCAGCTTATTTCAGGTGTAGTTGTGGTTATCCTTATCCGATGGATAAAACCATAGAACCGAAATTAGCAATATTTGTGACAAGGTACCTTATATGTGGCGTGTGTACCTGCCCATCCGCATCGAGCAACGTAGTGCATTGGACGACTTGTTGAGACAATGTCTTCAGACCAGAGACAATGTCGTGTTATCGTTTCTTCTACCGGCGTTAAATGAGCAACAGTGGAATTGCGTAGGTACGTGTCTGAGTGAGATCGAAGACAGTACTTGCCTCTTTTGCGCGACACCTTTGGCAAAGAAATCCAATTATGACATACTGATAGATTGGAGTGGGATTGTCAAAGAAATTATGAAAAGAGAGGGACCAGATGAGGCCACGGCGTTTCTGATTAAGCTGGAGAATATGATACCGGACATTGAGTTAGACAAAAGGTATTGAAAAATCTTCAAACGTTAAAAAAAGAGAGAATATCTATATTCCTTTTTTCATAGAGTAATGTGATAATAGCATGATGTATGTGTAGACAATGTTAATAAAATTTTATTATATAAACAATTTATACACATACACACACACACACAGAGGTGTCCTAGGACTTAATTTTAATTAAGCCTATATATATTTAAAGCCAATTTCTGGATCATGAGATTTTAGAGAAAAATATTTCAGATAAAAGCTATATGGTTCGAAGAAAGATATAAGAGAGTATTGGTTTGACATTCGGTGATGCTATCTAAGTCAGGTAAAAATCACTGAGTTTTTTAAATGGAACCTCCCCTCTCCCATTTTTCATTGTATATTCTTGTAATTTATTCAAAAGCTCTTCTGACAGATTGGATGATTCTAATAAACTATCAAATCTAATGCACCCTTACTTTGATTTACTTTGACACCCTAGGTCAAACTAATGTGGTACCATCTTATGTCCCCTTCGAAATCACAAAACTTTTGTCTGAAATATTTTTTTATTTAACGCGGTGTTTCTGAGATATTTAATGGATCCTTTAAAATAGAACACCCTATATATGTATTTAAAAAATTATTTTGTTTAGTATTATAGAAGAATATTAATTTGTTTGTGATGTTAAATTTGTCATTTGTAAACAATTTTTTATTAAAAGAAAAAATTTCCACATGGAAAAGAAACATAATATTCAATATTTTTTTATTATTAATAAAACTTCGATTGCCATTAAATTGCTATTACCTATAATTTTTTGTTCATCATTCTAGCTATAAATTGTAGAAGAATATAGAATACAATATAAAATTATTAGTATCCTTGACCTGCTGCAAAATTTGTAACTGTTATATAAAATGATAAACCAAAATAAAATTTATACATAAACGATTTAATTAAAGTAATATACAATAATCAAGCGTAAAAAAATCCTGTAAAAAAATTAAATTAAATTCGAAAAATAATATATTGATATTTTATTTTTATTATAGTATATTCCAGTCGATTGTGTTTACAAAAATGCTGCATCGCCGAGGTCTGAAGAAATCGATTGATTTCAGTAAAACTAACCAATTATCATCGAAATTTGGTACAATCTGCTCACCACAGGTAATTTCATTGCTACCTCTATCATAAAATAACAAAATATCCAAACAACATCAATCTAAATCTGAAAATATCTCAAATTTTTGTTTTCTACTAGTATATATAGTAAATCACACAATTCAATTATCTTAATTTTTTTCCTTTATTTTGTTACAAAAAGATTGCTAATAAAAAACGCGCTATAATAATTAATTTTTGTTTAATCGAATAATTTCATATAAAAAGAATTAAGATTTCTGCAACTAAACTCCTGTAAGAAATGTTAACAATAGTAATAGTCAAGTTATATGATTCTTTAATTTAAACATCTTTCTTTTTCTCTCAAAGGGATCAATCATGTAATTTTTTCTGTAGGATAGAAACGTGAAGTAATGTTTTTTTGTACATACATAAAAATGTTCACTTTTTATGTTTCCATTCTAAAGAAAAAAATCACACAATGCTTAAAATGTGAATATAGAGAGATAGAAAATATTTTTTAAGACGAACAATATTAAATGATCAGTTATTAATATTATATTATTTTTGTTGTCACAGATACGTGATCAGTTGACAAAAGTTCTCGAGAAAGATTTAAGACGATCGATAGATAAAAACGTGTTTGGAATAGGCGCTCATCATTGGGGTATGCGTCATCAGATTAAATCATTGACGTGCCCATGCTGTACGTTGTCTTTACAGACGCCAATTTTACTAGGTACCAATGGAGTCGCGATTTTTCGTTGCGGCCACGCCTATCACGTAAATTGTATGATAGAAAGAAAGCTCACTAGATGTAATCTTCATCAGTAAATGTTGTAAATAAGAATTAAATGAAGAAGTTACATGTACCGTATATACATTTTTCTCTTGAAATAAAGCTCTCTTCGGATGTACTTGAATTTATTATTTATTACCTATCTAATAAAGATCTTTTTCTATCGTCACAAATATTTGAATTTATTATCTCAGTACATTCGTTATCACAGTTGTAAGTTGAACAATACAGAAGAACATCATAAATTAGAAGACAGAACAAAATCGCTATATAATACAAACATCATCATATCATCTCTATAGAGCATACATTTTTCAAATTTACTGTTTTTATTCAAAATGTATCACTTTTATAAGATCATTATGAGATAATTATGTTATCGTTAATCACAACAGCAATAATTCATTGTAGATTCTTATGTACAGAGTTTTAGACATGCGTGTATAGTAAATAAAATATTCTCGCACGGCGCTATATATTAAGTTTTTCTTTTTGCAAGAAATCAGGGAAAGAATATATATCTAGATTTACATGAGTCATCTTATCACTTACCTTATTTGACGTTAAATACACACTATAATTACACGCATATAACGTGTAAATGTAACTTCATGCGTGGCTATATTATTATACATATTTAATATTTCTAATTTTTATGGTTTTGCAAACTAGTCTTTAGGAAAGTAAAAATTCAAAAGCTATAAAATCATTTGAGATGGATACATTAAACTGAGATTAACATAATGCATATGTGACATTATTGTTGTATAATACATGTTGTACATACTTTTATAGTATTAGATTTGTAAGCTCACAGCAAGATCTTTATGTAAATATTTAAATATCGATTGTATATTCTTATGAATAAATAAATCCATATAAAAATCGTTTACACAAATCTAGACGATTCTGTTATTATTTTTATAAACACGTGGAGTAATCGTAATGCATAGCATCGAACTTTTTTTTGAGAAAAGCAAAAACTATTCTATGGAATTGTTAAGTTCAGAAAAATATTTACTAATAAAAAACTTTTGCATAAATGTATATCGATGTATATCGATGTATATCACAGTTCAAATAACAATAGAATGTATAAAATTTTACTTTGTGATTTCCTATGATAATGTGACTAGATAATCTTTGTTATATCTAACTTTTTACAAAATTTATCTATATATTTTGTATATGATTATTTAAAAAAGTATAAAAAAGTTAACAGATACGGATATTAAATTTTTTAAAATTCCCTACGATATATCAATATACAGAATATTTAGCTATGGCATAACACGGTTTTTTGAACATTATGAATTTTTGAGCAAAATATTGAGTTAGTGAGTACACTAAGTTATTCATTAACGGACGTTTCATCTTCTTTCTTAATGAATATCGTAAAAATGCCATAACTTGTCAAACTTGCATTAAACATAAGTGTTTATCTTTGCATAATCCGAATAAAATACTTCATTATAATAAATCGCATATTAATATACCACTATTTCTTATATGTTTCTTATAAATTTTATAATATAATAATTGGAAGCAGAAAATTTCTCTTCGAATAGACAATTTGTTAGTTTTATGCTTCCATTTTTGCAAACTCGCGCAACGGTTATCATTTTTAACATTAATCAAATACTGAAATTTTTATAAAATGAAGTACTATTCTTTGAATAATGATGGAGGAGAAAACTTTGATAAATATTTCTAATGAAGCCCATTTTAGATGATCCATAATTCAGAATGAAAACTTATTTATAAATTATTTTATCATTTAATACATGGAAAATATTTGAAGAATCTCATACACACATAAAACAAGAAAAACATACATACATAAAATATATGTGTGTGTTAAAATATATTTCAAAATATAGATAAATAATAAATAAATTATATATGAAATATTATTCTGTGAAATCTGATCTTGAATTACAGATCTTCTGAGAGGAGCTTATAATCTTATTGATAAATTTTTCTCCTAATAATTTTACTAATAGACAGTTATTGCGAGATCGAATTATATAAAGAGAAAACACTTTGTATAAATAGTATTAACATTATTGCTCTCCGCTGTGCGAATGTTTTATATAAAATTATTTTAACAATTGTGTACACAACAATAGATTATGATAAAATTAAAATAAAAAGATAACACGTACAGTAATATTTGATAGAATTTAGTAACACATGCACAGTGGACAACACGTTAATGTAATTTGTGAAATATCAAATCATGTTTTACATCAAATCGTTTACAAATACAATCTCTCTTCTTGTTTTTCTTTTATAGAGAATATCATAAAGATAAATAGAAGTGTCTATTTTTCACGAAAAAAATGTTCGTATTGTACGCAAAAATAATACACTTAAATTAAAATTAAATATAATTAAACGTAGAGTTTCATTCGGTTGTTACACTTACCCATTACGTCCATACATATCGCTCCCAGGAAAATTTTATTCGCGTCGTTCTCAAACGAGAACGACTATTCTATTACGCAAATAAAATGCTACGTGAAATCAAAGATATGACAAATAATCGCAATAATGACTTATAGTATGTCGACGGAATGATTGCGGTTTCTGAGTCTGTTGAGTAAACAGCTCATTCTCTTTCGAGGTATTGTGCACTTAGCAAACAAAGTTTAAGAGTAAAAATTGCTAAATATACATAGGAGTAAATTATACAGACAATTATACTTGCGATCGCACGAAATCATGCGCAAAACATCAATAATAGAATATTCTAATTAATGAAGCTATCGATAATTTATACAATTTATTAGTAACACATATACTCCTGAAATTACTTCTATGGCAACGTTAGAAAGGCTATCTCTTAATCTTTTAGACAGAATGATTCTATAATATGAATATAAGGTGCGCGATTTCAAAAGATATTTCGATATTTGTAAAACATATCACGTTATAATTATGTAATACTTTTTTCAAATAATACCATATATCATTGAAATATCTGCGATAATACTGCATATGAGAATGGCTTCATATTTTTAGTTATATTTTTATTAATAAAAAATACTATGATCGAAATATTTTTCGAATTTAAAGACAATGGAATTTCATTAAAAGATCACGCACTTTAAAATTCAATATTAATTTATCACAATATGCCATTCTCGAATGATTCAGTAAAGAAAAATATTAAACAATAATTCTGCTTTAATAACATTTAAGTAACATGCCAAAAATATTATATAAATAATAAAAAATATTTTATTATTTATATTAGTTTTTGAAAAGCTCTCGAGGTAAATTATAAGAATATATAATGAAAAAAGGGAATTTCATGTAAAAAATTCGAAGTGACCTTGATTTGATCTTGGCGGCATTACTTAAGATCAAATCAATAATACCTTCTTATGTCCCCCTTCGAATCTTACAGCTTTTGTTTGAAACAAAAACTTTTGTTTGTTTTTTTTTCGTTTTTCTGTATCTTTCGAAATTTTGCTTAGGACAATTAAAATAGGACATCCTGCGCGCGCGCGCGCGCGTGTGTGTGTGTAACATACTCATACACTATTAAATCTATAGAGTATCAAATTTAACTTAATTTAAATCGCCACTGTTACAGTTATCAAATATATCCTTATTTTATATTAAAACAATAGTTAAAATTGACATTGTATCGTGTCAATTTGACACTGTATAATATTAAATATAATTGTTTTAATATAAAATAACGATACATTGAGTAGGAACAGTGGCAACTTACATTAAGTTAAATTTGACACTGTAGATTTAGAACAGTGTACAGTCAAATAATGCTAGCAGTATGTCTGCTAGTTGCTAAAATTCGTTTCTATTCGCTATGATCTTTTTAAGCTTGATTTCTGCCATTACAATTTGCCAGCCATAAATCAGGAATGAAGCATACTTTCTCATCAAGATATCATAATGAAAGGCTTGTTTTCTACTACTAGATATTAGAAAAATAACAAAATGTGTTCGATTATTGCTGGCATTCTATTAAGTACTAACATACTTTGCAATACATAAGATCTGTTTTTTATTCCTGCACTGGACTGCACTAACTTATTTTAGCCAAATATTATATATACATCTATTTTACTTTAAGTTCCAAAAAACATCAGTTCAGCTATAAAAAACAGACACACACACACACACACACACACACACACACACATACACACACACACATATATATATTCTTGGCAGGTTTAGCTACCTAAATACATATAAAATAGTTAAAAGATTTCTTGAGTGTCAAACTTTGACATAAATAAAATTAAAATATTGAATACGCATAAATCGTGTAGAAATGATTTGTCTTAAAAGAGATTTTTTTTTAAGCATCAGTGAATAGTAGATCGTAACACGTTAAACGTATATATCATCAATAAGGAATTTCAACAAAGTTGTGAGTTTATCAAGATTACATGGAATAATTCATGATTTTCTTAATTTATAGCACGAATGTTTGAACATCATGCTGTTGAAAATATACACGTTTCTTTAACATGCATATATTTCTTTCTTAAGATTTATTTCTTATATTCATAAAAGAAGAGAAAGAGATAGAAAGTCGATCCTGTAAATTTACATTACAGCTAGTTGAGCGTAAAATTAAAAATATATTCTTTGTTTTTAGAAAGTATTAATGTAAGTTTACATAGAGAAAAAACATTTATATCTTGTACAAATATCTCAGATTAAATTATAGATAAAAAACACATTATATAAAAAATTTTTTGTTTCTTTCTACTCTTACTATTCTCATTTTCCTTTTTAGGATACAGTATTATGTCAATTTAACGAAGTTTTATTTAAATCTTAGCTCATTTAATAAATTCACGAATACGAAGATTAATATACCATTAAAAAAAATCAAATGCACATAGTTTAAACATAGATAAAATGCCAATAGTCGGCGAACAAAGTTATTTTGTTGAAAATTTTAATTTAAGATTGATGATTGTATTATGCAAAATATATTAACGTATTGCAGAAACAAACTAAAAAAATATACTTACAGTCAAATTGTTCACCTGATTTGTTTATAAAAATAAAAAATATACAATTTATCATACATTCGAAATATTAATGTTTTTTACGATACAGATACGACGC